TTTTTTCTTTTTGCTTATGTGGTGCTGAGGAATCAAACCCAGGGCCTCAGGCATGCAAGGCAAGCACTCTACCACTGAGCCACCTTCCCAGCCCTTGAGGCCCAAGGTTTAAGCCCCACGACCAAAGGAAAAAAAAAAAAGCATAGCATAGCATTGTAAAATCTTTTAGAAACTTTAAAGTCATTTCTTGCTAAAGAGAAGTGGATGGAGGTATGGTGCATGAATGGTTGCCTTGGTTGGGAGTTAGACAATTCCATGTCAGCTTCACCAGGTCTGGGATAAATCTGTGGTGTGAATGTCCATCCCTGAGCTGTATAGAACTTTAGCATTGACTTTCTCTTTGGGACTCTTAGTGTGTGTGTGTGTGTGCACACACACGTGTGCAACAGTCATGGGGCTTGAACTCAGGGCCTGGGCACTGTCCCTGAGCTCTTTTGCTCAAGGCTAGTGCTCTACCACTTTGAGTTACAGATTTTCTGGTGATTCATTGGAGATACGACTCTCATGAACTTTGCTGCCTGGGCTGGCTTTGAACTACGATTCTCAGATCTCAGCCTGAGTAGCTAGGATGACAGGCATGAGCAACAGTGCCCAGCTATTTCTTCTTTTTGTTTAGAAGAGCCTTCAGTGCCTTCGGATCCGTTTTTCCTGAAAACCATTGAAGATGTGAGAGAATTTTTGGGAAGACACTCTGAGAGGTTTGACAAGAACATTGCCTGCTTCCACCGGACATCCCGGGAATGTGACAGAAAGAGCCTTCGTCACCTCATAGTCAGTGGCCCTGTCTTTCTATCTCTGCCTAGCCAGCTCAGAGCCCAGATGTCCTTCTTCCCCTTTCCCAGCTACGCCCTCTCCTGCCCCTGGTGAGGTGTTTAAATGAGTCTAAGTATAAAAGTGGCATTTGCAACTACCACAACTTGAGAATCCTGGAGAAGTGGAAATATGAGTGTTGTTAAAATTAATTTTCTTTTGTCCCAATTCTAGGGCTTGAATTCAGGGCTTGTGAGCTGACTCTGAGCTTTTTTTGCTCAAGGCTAGCTCTCTCCTGCTTGAATCACAACTCCATTTCTGGCTTTTTGATGATTCACTGGAGATAAAGAGTCTCACACACTTTCCTACTTGGGCTGGCTTTGAGCTGTGATTCTCAGATGTCAGTCTCCTGAGTAGCTGGGATTACAGGTATGAGCCACCGGCACCAAGAGAATGTTATTATCATCTAAGTTAACATAAGGCAGGATTTTTTTCCTACTTCTAATGCATGGACACTTAAAGGTGTTGACAATTGATTTAAAAAAATTGTTTGAAGCCAAGTGCAGGTGGCTTATGCCTGTATAGCTACTTAGGAGGCTAGGATCTGAGGATCACAGTTCAAAACCAGCCCTAGGCAGACAAGTTTGTGAGACCTTATCTCCAGTCACCCAGCAAAAAGCTAGAAGTGGAGATGTGGTTCAAATGGTAGAATGACCACCTTGAATGAAAAAAGTGAAGCAAGCCAGGGGCTGGTGGCACCCACATGTTATCCTAGCTATTCAGGAAGCTGAGATCTGAGGATCACAGTTCAAAGCCAGGCTGGGTAGGAAAGTCCATATCTCCAATAGCACCCAAGCTCTGAGTTCAAGCCCCAATCACACACACACACACACACACACACACACACACACACACACACTCTGAAGAAGTTTGCATTGCTCCTTCAGGCTTATCACCCAGGAGATAGAGCTGTTGAGGATTTTCTTATCTCAGTATGTGTCCTATAGTCAGGCTTCTGTGTTACAGTTTCCAGTTCTAAGAGGATCTCTTTCTCTCTCTCTTTTTGTCTCTCTCTCTTGCTCTCTCTCTCTCTCTCTCTCTCTCTCTCTCACACACACACACGTGTTCACAGGACTCAGTGAATGCACTCTACACCAAATGCCTCCAGCAGCTTCTGAGAGACTCTCATTTGGTAAGTGGCAGGACTTTCAAACGCTAGACCTGTCATTGGCCCACATGTAGATTATGGCTCTCTAGCTGCACTTCTTTTGCTTTCTAGAAGGTTCTTGCGAAGCAAGAAGCTCAAATGAATCTGATGAAGCAGGCAGTAGAGGTGAGAAGGGGTAG